ATAGAGTTGAACCAGTCAACTTGGGAGGCCCTCGGCCTTAGCACAGACCAAGTCTTAGCTGCAGAGAATGATGTGGAAGTCTTCTTATCTACCTCCCATTCGTAGTGATCATTAACATGGGAAGCACTCGGTAGATTTAAAGTGGTAAGAAAGACCATAAGGGTCAGTGCTTCTTCGGAACGCGGCTCAGGAAGAAGCCAACCAGCTTGATCACAAGCAGAAGAAACCGAGGCGTTAAGATGGACTCGGAGACTTCTTGGCCCTTCAATACCAAGATACTTGATGAGAGGACCAAAAGGAGTCCAATTATCAAACCAGAAGCTTGCTCTTCTTCCATTACCAACTACACATTTGATAAAGCCCTCAGCCAAATCTCTTAGGCGGAGAATAGATCTCCAGTTCCAGGAATCTCCCTGCTTCTCCACTTGGTTCCAAAAAGAAGTTTGATGGTTCCAATTGTGGAGCTTATGCCAAGCAACCCAAAGAGACCCACTAGTTGAAAAAAGGAGCCAAACAAGTTTGAGACATAGAGTTCTGTTCCAGCTTGCAAATCTTCTTAACCCCAATCCTCCCTCCTCTTTAGGCAAACAAACTTGAGCCCAGGAGACCTTTACTAACCCTTTCCCGTCGATTGTCCCCGCCCAAAGAAATCTTGAGCAAAGGGATTCAATTTTTCTAATACAACTCAGCGGAAGAATGAAAGCAGATATCCAAAAATTAACCATTCCAGAGATAACGGATGCAATAAGTTGAGTCCTGCCGGCAAAAGAGAGAGACTTAACCGCCCAAGAGTTGAAGCGACTAGAGATCTTCTCAATGAGAGGAGCATACTCTGACACCTTAAGCCTTCTACTCATTAAGGGGAGTCCCAGATAACGGATTGGGAGCGACCCAACAGTGAATCCATAGCTAGAAAGGGCTAAGGATTCAGGTTGGCTCAAACCCGCATGGTACAGCTGAGTTTTATCCCTGTTCATGTAAAGTCCCGACCACCCTGCGAAGTCCTCAAGCGTTTCATAAATACCGTGGAGAGAAGAGCTCATCCCATCAAAGAAGATCATAACATCATCAGCAAACATCAAGTGGGAAATTTGGAGCTCAGATGTTCTTGGGTGATAGGAGATGTAACCCGATTCATACCGAGATTGAAGCAATCCAGAAAACACCTCCATAGTTAGGACAAAAAGATAGGGGGACATAGAATCACCTTGACGAAGCCCTTTTGTACTCTTAAAATACCCAGTAGTTTGCCCATTCACAATGACCGAAAAGCTTGCAGTGGAAATACACTCATGGATCCACCCTATGAATTTTTCCGGAAAATTGATGGCTCTAAGGCAAGAAATAACAAATTCCCACCTTACCGAATCAAATGCTTTCCTCAAATCCACCTTAAGCATTGCACTCGGTTGAGCATCCTTTCTGTTATAGCCCTGGACTATCTCAGTTGCCAGTAAGACGTTTTCCAATAACAATCGGCCTGGCATAAAGGCAGATTGGCAATGGTTAATCGCTGAGGGAAGGAAAGCTTTAAGACGCCCTGCCAAAAGTTTAGAAATCACTTTATAAACCGTATTAAGGCAAGAAATGGGCCTGAAATCCGAGATCCGAGAAGCATTAGGGATCTTGGGAATGAGGACCAAGTTAGTAGCGTTCCATTGCTTGAGAATCTTCCCCGAACTAAAGAATTCCAACACATCATCAGTAATTTCTGTCCCAACAATGGACCAGGTTGTACAGAAGAACTCGGGAGTGAAGCCATCAGGGCCACTAGCCTTGTTTTTGGGAAGGGAGAAGAAAGCTTGACGGATATCTTCCCTAGTAAACAAAGAGTCAAGCTCTGTTTGTTGAATCTCAGAACATTTAAACTTAAGGATGTGAGAAACATCTTCTTGAACAAACTGGGAAGGCACTTGTTCTCCACCTAGAGAGGTCTGAAAGTAATCAACACAATGACTCTGGATTCCCATCTGAGAGTCAATGCGATTTCCTTCAGCATCATACAAAAAGTGTATATGGTTAATTGCCTGTCTGGAATTGGCCATTTTGTGAAAATAAGCAGAATTCATGTCCCCTTCTCTTATCCAAGTTACCCTCGATCTTTGGAAAAGGAAACTCTCCTCAGCAGTGGACAAAATGTACCATTTACGCTGCATCTCAAACTCCACCTCAGCATTAGACACACTAGGATAATGGAGCAATTGATTTTGAGCTTCTGTCAACCTAACATGAGCCTCAGCAGTTCTCTTCTCAATGTCTGAATAATTAAGCTTACTGAAATCCCTTATAATTTGCTTCAACGCTTTGAGCTTCTTAGAGACACGATACATTGCAGAGCCTGTAAGATTCAGGGAATACCAATGGTACCCAATTAAAAGAACAAACTCAGGATTCTTCAACAGAAAATTGTAGAACCTGAAAGGTTTCCTACACCTCGGCTTAGCCGTATGGAAGGAGACTTCACAGCAGGCATGATCAGAGAAATCCGGGTCACCAAACAGACCCAAAGAAGAGGGGAAGAGAGAGATCCACTTGTCATTCACAAGAATGCGGTCAAGCTTTTTTGCAATAGGGGCACTTTTCCTTTTATTCCACCATGTAAACGTGTTACCTCTAAAGTTGAGGTCGACTAGCCCAGCTTGGAGAAGAGTTTCTCTGAAAACTCTAGTAGGGCTGTCCACATTAAGATTGGCAGGGGAGGAGTGTTCTGAAGGATGAAGAGTTTGGTTAAAATCACCTAACACCAGCCAAGCTTTGTCCTGAAGAATACCATTAGAAGAGAGATCAATCAACTCTCTCCATAATTCCAGGCGAGAAGCTTCATCATTAGCAGCATAGATAGAGGAAATGAAAACAGGTTCAGCACAGTCTGGAAACTTGACTTCACAACAGATCATTTGCAGAGATTTGGAAACAATCACAACATGAATACTCGGATGCCATAAAACCCATATCTTTCCGAGATCAGAAAACTCATAATTATTATCAAAAGACCAACCTGGCAGCATCGAGTTAAGGAACTTATGCTGCTTAGGCTTCTTAACATGAGTCTCCACGAGACTACCAAAAAGTGATCGATGGTTACTATACCATTTTTTAAAACCGCGACGATGAGAAGCAGAATTCAAACCGCGGAGATTCCAACAAAAAGTGTCACTATCCATAAAAATTATAGGTTTTTGGGGCCATTGCCCCTCGCACTCCGCTGTTGCCGCTGCGACAACACCTTTGTGAACCTCAACTCGTCTTCTAGATCAGTATCCTCATCTTCAGTATGTTCAGATGGGACATCAGAAGAATCTGAATCCAAGTCTGAAGAAGAAGATTTATCGTGGACCACTTGAGTAGCCTTGCCTTTATCGGGGGGCTTCGACCCATCCGGGAGATTGGAAGAAGAAGCAACCTCCCGCCCTTTACTAGAATTGGCTACTGCCTGTGAAGACTTGGCTGGATCGAGGGATAAGGCCTTGGCCCTACTGCCAACAACCACCCATTCGCCTTCTTTAGGGACCGGTTTAGGAGTTTTTGATCTTCGTCTCCGAGCTTTCACCTTATCCGGAATAGGCTTAGAGGGAGGAGGAAGAGATTTGGCTTTGGAGCGAGGGCAGTCATCTGGAGAGTGAGAGGCCGAGTTACAAGGTTTACACATGATTGGGGCTGAATGACATCTTCGCAGGCTATGCCCCACTTCTTTGCAGTGAGAACAAATTGGGGGCATCCAGGGACTAGACACCTCCACTCTAGCGATCAATCCCGAACTAAATTGCGCATTGACAGCTTCAGGTAGCGGCTTTCGAGGGTCGATAATAGTAAAGACTTTTGCTACCTCGAGGTTCCGCTTATTCATGGTATCCGGGTGAAGATACAGAGGATGACCAACCAAACTTGCAATCCGCTGCAGTCCATCGTCATTAAAAAACTGAAAAGGGACCTTCCTAAGTTCCAGCCAAATGGGTGCAGAGGAGAGTTCCGGCTTTGAAGGAGTAAGGCCAGGTTCCCAATTAGCAACGAACATCGTTTGGCCTTCAATTTGCCAAAGACGTTGATTCAGGACCCGATTGCGAGTTTGCACATTAGGTATGCGAAATAGAAATGAGTTTCCTTCCATTCTCGATACCGAAATGTCTTTAAACTGCTTACTCCAAATTCCATTAACAATTGTGTGGATAGTTCCTTGAGCAGGAGGATCCGAGTAGAATTGACCAAGTATAAATGACTCCCAAGACTTTTGATGCTTTTCAATTAGCGAGTCGGGAATCTTAACACAAGCTTCACCAGATGGGAGGGTGAATGCCTTCCCTGCCTTCTGAAGCCTCTTAGAAGTTCCTTTGAACATATCGCACCAGCTCTCTATCGCAGCAGAGGAGCAATGGTCTGTGGAATCTGGGTTCGCCGCATCGACCTTGACGGGAGCAGCTTGCGCAGAAATTGATGAAGGTTCCTTGTCCTGGGACTGGATCGCTTCCGTTGGAGGAGATATCACCGGAGAAGGCGCAGGGGCTGAAACAGCCACTTGCTTCCCTTCGACATGCCCTAATTTTTCCAGATCTGAACCAGATCGCGGATCTGAAGATGGAGAGACGGCCGAGCTTGTCGTGGAGACCGCTACGAGGACGCCTTTATCTTGAGTGGTAACAGGAACCGAAGGGGAAGATGGGAGGCCGGAGCCCGAAGAAATGGAAGCGGAAGAAGCAGGGGAAGAGCCACCTTTGGAGGAGGAGGAGCCCCCCGAAGGATCTTTGCGAAGTCGCTTTTGCTTCCCCATGGGGAGGGAAGCGCAACAGGAATCCGACTCGCGGAGGAGCCGGCGCCGTTGGAGACGCCGGAGCTGGGCCGAGAATGAAACCACCTTATCGCCTTGTCGCCTTTGCTATCGCCTTGTCGCCTTTTCTTTTACTTTTCAAAATCTTGCGATCTATCTTAAATTTCAGTGACTCTTTACTATATATTATTTAGTTTTCCCATTTGAGACTACTAAATCAATTCTACCTTCTTCCTCAATGACGCTACACATCACTGAGACTGTCCGAGTCACCCCAGCAGCTGACTCAAACTCTGTCCTCTCAATCCCTTTAACTTTCTTTGACCTACCTTGGCTACTATTCCAACCTGTTAAACGTGTCTTCTTCTACAAACTCAAAGAGTCGACTCGTGAGCATTTCAACTCCATTATCCTCCCTAAGCTTAAGCTCTCTCTCTCCCTTGTCCTTTGCAACTACGTCCCTCTCACTGGCCACATCACATGGAACATAAACGAACCCAAACCAAGCATCGTGGTCGGTCCAAACGACGCTGTTTTGGTTACTATAGCCGAGAGTGAAGCCGACTTTTCAAATCTTTCAGGCTTTGGACAACGTCCTGTCTCTGAGTTACATGCCTTGCTTCCCAAGTTACCAGTTACGGATGACTCAGCCACAGCCTTCTCCATACAAATCACATTGTTCCCGAACCAAGGTTTCTCCATCGGCGTTGCAGCACACCACGCCGTTTTAGACGGGAAAACGTCAAGCACGTTCATCAAAACTTGGGCTCATATCACCAAACAACAACTTGAGAACGTCCCGGAGAGTCTAGTTCCATCTTATGACAGGTCGTTGATCAAAGATCCCACAGGACTCGATGAAAAGATGATAGAGATGGTGAGATCTCTCAAACAAGATAAAACCAAAGTTGTCTTAAGCTTGATTCCATTTCCCGCAAAAGAACTTGGAGATGACGTTGTCTTGGCCACGCTCGTGCTCTCTAAGGATAACATCGAGAGACTTAAAGAACGAGTCAAGAACTTGTCTACTTTTGTCATTGCGTACGCTTACACGTGGACATGCTACGTGAAGGCACGTGGAGGAGATGGAGAGAGATCAGTGAGTTTACTCTTCGTAGGAGATTTTAGAGAACGTTTGGATCCGAAGCTTCCGACAACTTACTTCGGAAACTGCATGTTTCCGGTGGGTTGTTATAACCGTAAGGCGTCGGAGTTTATGGTAGAGAAAGGGTTTGTTACGGCGGTTGAGATACTTAGTGATTTGGTCAAAGGGTTGACTTCAAGAAAGGTAGAGACTATAGCGGACTCCTTTGTGGAAGCATTTGGTTATCAGAGTTGGAGTACACAGTTTGTGACCGTAGCCGGGTCAACCCGGTTGGGAGTATACGAGGCGGATTTCGGGTGGGGAAGACCCGTTAAGGTTGATATTGCCTCTATTGACCAAGGTGCGATATCGATGGCAGAGCGACGTGATGAAACGGGTGGCGTGGAGATTGGAATGTGTCTGAAAAAGACAGAAATGAACATGGTCGTGTCTTTTTTCAACATTGGTTTACAAAGCTAAATCTTTTTTTGTTTTGTTTTGTGAAATATTAGTAATAAGGTAAAGCTTTGGTTAGTTGTTCTTGTTTATCTCACAACAAAATTATTGGGCATAGCATCAAAGAGAAATATCACTACTTAAAAAAAAAAGCGATTTAAACCTGTTGCCAAACAGAGAGATTTAAAGTTTTTCTAATGAAAACTATAGTATAAAATTCGTAAATCTGTTGCCAAACAACTTAGAAAACGGATAAACGGGCGGATTTTTTGACCCGCTAATGAAACCCAAACTTTTTTTGTTCTAATCATATCTTGTTAGGTGCGAAGAGTAATATATTTGAAACGACGGTCGGAATCACGTCTAAGGACAGTGGTCATATGAGGGTATAGGAGTGTCCATAGACTTTGGAATGTTGATTCTTCATATAGTGATCAATGGTTATGTTGTTCCCATGAATGTTTATAACATTTCTTTGAACCCTTTCCAAGGATTGCGTAGAGCATGTTGAGTCTAATACACATTTTGGGCGAGACAACCTTGACTAATTAAGCCATACCTAATATTTTTGTGAACCTAACACGTGATTAGTAGATTTTTAAATTATTTGGGTGATTTGTTTGTAATCTATTAACTGGTAAAAGAATAAAAAAGAAAAACAAATCTCTATGACAGCTAATTGTAGGGTATTTAGCTGACGCTGCATGTTATTTCTTCTAAATCTGATTTTGTTCATAATATATGTTCCTTATTCACCTCATAGGGCCTCCAGAGTTGAAACTAATTTTATATGCATTCGCCCTAATATATCTTCTTTTTTCACTTTTTTTATTGGGAGATACGACCAAAATTCCAAGATCATGATAAATTAACGAGAGTAAAAAACATAAAAATATTTAGAAAAAAATCATATTAGATTCACAAATAAGAAATTAAAAACGATGTTACACAATTCATTAAAGTATATATATATATATAAAGTATACACAATTCATTAAAGTATATATATATATATATATATATATAGATAGTAATTTCGGAAGATAAAGATTAATGTAAATAATATATTTAGAGAAAAAGATAAATTAAATATTTCTAAACTATTTTTAGATTCTTCTCAAACTTATCACATGATTTTACTTGTGTCTTTGTAAACAATATCGTCGATAATTATTTTATTATGTCGTTATATATTTTGTTAACTACGAAAGAGTATTTTTGTCCATTTTAAGATAACTAATTAACTTATTATTGAGACCTTGCTTTTTGTTTTTCAATCTTTTGGGTATATAGAGCAGTAATACTCTATCATAAAACCCTAATTTGTAATCATATTTTAATTTATGGAGTTTGCAGGTTGCGATATATTATAAATAACATGCAACGTCAGATAAATAACATGGAGCGTCAGCATCAATTAACAAATCATAGAGGTTTTTGTTTCTTTATATTATATATCGCTGCCAAATCCTCCAGTTATATGTATAGAGAACAAATCCTCCAAATACTTGGGTGTATTCAAAGTGAAATTTCAATTGATTTGTAAAAAGTTTACAAATCTACTGTTATTCAAACATGAATTTTAAAAAGTCTAATGAAATCTACTGTTATTCAACTAATGATTTCAAAATCCACCTTAAAATCCATTGTTATTGAAAAAAATTTGTGGATTTGACTTTTAATGATTTTGAAGGATTTCAGAGGATTTGGGAGGATTTCCTTAGTTAAAAATACAGAAATCCAAATCCCATGGTTTTTGGTGAGATTTAAAATGATTTTACAAAAGTCATATTAACTTCCCTAAAATCATCAAAATCATTTAAAAACCCAATAAAACTCAAATCTCTTAAAATTCCATTTTGAATACACTCCTCGTATACTATATGTTTGAATTTTTATAAGAAATATTTGATATATGTGATAACGTGTTTGAATTAAATGTAGTTAAAGAAAGTAAATTTCCGAGTGGTTGTTTCGAAAGGTTTTTAAATGAGCTGCAGTCAGCTTACCCTACAATTAACCATCATAGAGGTTTGTATTTCTTTATCCGTATTGTTTAATAGAATTTTGTACAAATAAAATTTTCATGGCGTCAATTTTTATAACTCTATTCTCCATATAAAAAAAATCATACTAGTTAAGAAATTTTACGGTCATGTACATTTATTTTCTAAAACTTTAAAGATAGATTTGAACTTCTAGTCATGAAGGCTTCAATTTTATATATATTCCTAAAAGTTTTACAAACATGATAGTAACAAAAATAGGCTATATTGCATATTTATTTCGATTTTGTAGGATTGACTTGCATTTTCTAGATTTGGAGGGTTAAGTTACAAAAATGGCGACGGGGATTTTAATTTTATTTTAGCAACTATTAGAGAATAAACAACCCATTTTATATATCTTCAAGTTCTAGAATAGATATTTTACAATTTTTAAGGAAGCGCTAGGTGATAAGTGGGAGGTAACCTAACATCTAGCGCCTAATTACATAATCGGAATGTAAACGGTTTTATGAATAAAATATAAAAATAAAGATGATAAAAAAAAAATTAATTGGTTTAAACACTATGGTTACGGTTTGAGCAATATCAAAAATTTAAATGACTAAGGATCTAAATAGTAACCGAGAAATTTTTGTTGAATCTAGCTGAATTGCTGAATGAGCATAATATTTAGTGACTTTTAACTGAATCCAGCTGAATTTTTGAATTTTTTTATGGTAACCATAACTGATTTAACGAATGAAATGTGAGTCCTTGCAAAAGATTATGATTGATTAACTAGCGACATCAGTCGAACAAAAAATTACCAAAAATATATAATATATAATTATTGAGAATATATGTTTAATACCTAAGGTGCAGAGGCCGACTCGAATGTCGGAGATGCGTCTAATATGTAATGTTGGATATACGATTATCTCAAAAGTCCTATGCCAGCGGCTTAAATTGGTTCTTCCGAATATTATCTCTGAGACACAATCGGCATTTGTGGCAGGAAAATTGATTTCTGATAATATTTTGATTGCACAGGAAATATTCCACGGATTACGTACGAATGTGTCATGCAAGAATAATTTTATGGCTATTAAAACTGATATGAGTAAGGCATATGATCGGGTTGAATGGGTTTTTATTGAATGGTTATTAAGGAAATTTGGTTTTGCAGAAAAGTGGATTACTTGGATTATGTATTGTGTGACTTCGGTGGAGTATAGTGTTCTTTTAAACGGTCAGCCTCACGGGGCCATTACACCAAAGAGAAGACTCCGACAGGTGGATCCTTTATCACCATATTTATTTATTTTATGTACAGAGGTTATAATCAGTAATATTTGGAAAGCTGAGCAGGATAAATTAATCACGGGGATCAAAGTGGCGAATAAGTGTCCACCTATCTCGCACCTATTATTTGCGGATGACAGTTTATTTTTCTGTAAAACTACACGGGATCAATGTGAGGCTATTTTGGGATTTCTGAAGAAATATGAGATGGCGTCCGGACAACAAATAATTTTTACGAAGTCTTCCATCCAATTTGGTCATAAGGTGGAGGAATCTATAAGACGGGAAATGCAGGGGATTACCGGGATTACTAATTTAGGAGGAATGGGGTCTTATTTAGGACTTCCAGAGAGTCTAGGAGGAGCCAAAACATAGGTGTTTTCCTTTGTCAGGGATAAATTGGACAATCATTTAAATGGGTGGTCGACTAAATTGTTATCTAAGGGAGGTAAGGAAATAATGATTAAATCGGTAGCTTCTGCATTACCGACTTATATTATGTCCTGCTTTAGGTTACCGAAAACGGTTACATCCAAACTCACCAGTGCGGTGGCGCAATATTGGTGGAGTACGAGTGGTCATTCAGGGGGGATGCATTGGCGAGCCTGGGAGAAAATGTGTTCAAGTAAGCATTTAGGCGGGCTCGGATTTAGTGATATTAATGATTTTAATACAGCACTTTTGGCTAAACAATTATGGAGACTGATGGAGTATCCGGAGTCCCTATTTGCAAAGGTTTTTAAAAGTCGGTATTACAGGAATTCATGTCCAGTGGACCCTATAAGATCGTACTCTCCTTCTTATGGATGGAGAAGTATTATCTCAGCTAGATCTCTGATAAATCAAGGGCTTATTAAACGAGTTGGAACGGGGGACACCATCGCAGTGTGGAGAGATCCTTGGATTCCAGCTCAATTCCCGAGACCAGCTATGTGTAATGGATGTTATGGATCCATCTCTTCAATTACGTCAATTGATTGATTATCAATCAGGTACATGGAAGATTGAGACTCTCAAAGCTATTTTCGCGCAAAGCGATGTTGAGTTGATAAGTGCCCTAGCTATAGGTCAAACGGAAACGGTAGATGCGGTAGGATGGAATTTCACAAAGACTGGGAAGTACTCAGTTAAATCAGGCTATTATGCAGCTCGGATGCCTGATCCAAAATATACAATCACACTAGTATATTACGGCTACTAACAAGATTTGGAAAGTACGCTGTCCACCTAAGATACAACATTTTATGTGGCAGCTACTAACAGGTTGTATTTCAGTATCCGTAAATTTAAATAGGCGAGGAATAAATTGCGATATACTATGTAGTCGGTGTGGTACTCAGATCAATTGGTGACAACTTGTCTGGTGGGAACTTTTAAATGTAACAACCCATCCCGGTGGGAACCGCTACCACATGGTACACCCCGCCTCATGGCAGCTAAAAGCGCTGCAGCGCATCGATCCTAACCTCTCTCCTGTGGGCCCAAACTGCATAGCCCACTTGCTCGCAGCCTCCTGGCCCACCAGGTAGGTTATTGGTGCGCCTGGCGTTCCTCGAACCCAGGTCCTCACCCTTTAACAACATTCCCACCAGACAAGTTGTCACCAATTGATCTGCAGGTCAATTGGTGACAACTTGTCTGGTGGGAATGTTGTTAAAGGGTGAGGACCTGGGTTCGAGTAACGCTAGCGCATCGACCCTAACCTCTCTCATGTGGGTCCAAACTGCGCATGTAGGCACTCTCCTGGCCCAGATGCACTCCTGGCCCACCAGGTAGGTTATTGGAGCTGGTGGGCCAGGAGTGCATGTGGGCCAAGAGAGTGCCTACATGCGCAGTTTGGGCCCACGAGAGAGAGGTTAGGGTCGATGCGGTGCAGCGCTGTAAGGTTGCCATGTGGCGGGGTGTGCCATGTGGCGGAATCCCATTGGGCGGGTTGTTACAGTTAATCACGCAATTTTTGAATGTTCACCAGCTCGACAATCCTGGGCGCTAGCCCAGGTACTAGTGGGACCTAATCAATTCCCGACTACGTCTATATATGCAAATATGGATTATCTTCAGGTTTTATCGACTTCAGATGCACAGTTTGATTTTTTCCCTTGGTTATTATGGTATATATGGAAAGCTAGAAATGGTAAAATGTTTGAGAATGTGGACAAATGTCCGTTGGATGTCACTAAACGAGCACAATATGAAGCAAAGGCTTGGCGAGAGGCACAAGTTGAAGACCAAAATGAGGTAGTGGAGGCCCGGGGTGATGGTCCTCGGACAATCGGAAGTGTTCCGACTTTTGCGCCCATCTCTTTTGGTTATATATGTTTTATTGATGGTTCTTGGAAAGATACAGATAAGTATACAAGTATAGGATGGTGTTGTTAGCAAGCTCATGATGGATCCATGTTTATGGGGGCCTCCAACCTCCGACGAAGCCTCACCCCTCTTCATTCAGAAGTGGAGGCTTTGGTGTGGGGCATGAGATGTATGATTAGCCACGACTTCAGAGATGTTGTTTTCTTGACGGACTGTTCCTATTTGGTGAAGATGGTGTCTTCTCCTTCAGAGTGGCCGGCTTTCTCTGTGTACCTGAACGATATCCAAGTTGATAGGGAAGAATTCTCAACTTTACTCTTTCTCTTATCCCAAGGAGTGCAAATGGCGTTGCGGATAATCTGGCCCGTAAAGTACGAGTCTTACCGTATGCTGCTAAGTTTGTAAACAATTGTCCCCTTCATTGGCTTTCTTAAAGTCAATCTTTTCGTTTTAAAAGGTTCTGTGATACTAAATCCAAATATTTCTAAGGTTTTAAAAAGTTTTAAACGACATTTATAAGGTTTTTAAAAGGTTTACAAAGTTTTTATAAGGTTTTTAAAAGGTTCTAAACGACATTTATAAGGTTTTTAAAAAGTTTACAAAGTTTTTATAAGGTTTTTAAATGTTTTTTAAAAGGTTTTTAAAATGTATTTATAAGGTATTTATGAAATAAATATATATATATATATATATATATATATATATATATATATATATATATATATATATATATAT